TTCTTATGTAGTTACTTTACTTTTTACAATTGTTAATCGAAGAGCATTTTAGCTGATAGAGGTACAAACAATGCCGCCCTTTCTGTTGTTTAGTGAAATTTAAAATATAAAGCAATATTGGTGTGGTAGTTTCTAACATGAAAGTCAAAAAATAATAAGTAAACACTCACTACTGGACACATTGGCTTTTGATTAAGCTCAGTATCATTCAGTTCATGCCCTACGCAATCACACGTCTACTAGAAAGACAAAGTTAATATTTGTAATTTCTGAGTTGTTTTTTTTGTACGTCTTTATGTAAAAAAGTAAAAGTGTTTCTGTTTTGATGTGGTTTTAGCTAATGGGATTTGCTTATAATTTAACGCTATATGCTTAAGTCAAATATTTAAACAATGAGTACAAGGAATTTCTGACTCGGTACAGCTATTTGTGGATCATACAAATAAACAAAACAAATGTGTATTCTAAAGTATTTTAATGGCTTGGCCGTTTCGCTACTAGCACATGGGCGTAAGGTAAAAAAATGTATCGCTACCGTTCACATGGGCGTATGGTGAAAAATTTATTCACTGTTCTTTACTTTTCTATTATACAATTGTTCTTGTTTTGCTAGTTGTCTGCTGAAAGGCTTCCTATTCTAAAGCCAATCCTGAGTACATTAGCGAGGTATAGTAAACTTTAGAAGAGACTCACAGATGGACAAATAGACAGACAGTGTAAAGATTCATATCCGTTATCTTGACTCGTGACAGTCCTGGGCGTACAATCAATATACATATATTATAAGTAAGCATTCGAGAATAATCTAAGGTATTTCTCCGATCCATGTATGTCTTGTTCCGGTAATCCGCTTCCCTGAGTATCGTGCGTTCGATCCCCACATGGGACAATACTTTGTGTTATAGACAAATTGTTGTTCTGAGTCTGGGTGTTCTTTGTGTTCGTTTGAAAGAATGTTTGTAAAGTCCCCCGTGACCCAGGATATATTCCCAGTGCGGGAGTATATCCTGGGTAATAAAGGTTCATTCAGTAATTAACTATATAGTTTAAATTAAAAGTATGATGATGAGTGCTTTTTTTTTAAAGCTTCACTTTTTTAATGAAAGAGGGGTAAACTAGCAGACGGGTCATCTGATGAAAAGCTACTACCGCCGCCCGTGAACGTCCGCAACTAAGGAGTCACGCTCTTTTCTTGAAGGTTTGAAGGTCGTATCGGTCCGGTAATACCGCACACCATAACATGGCGACGTAGATCCCTTGAATAAGGATTACATTATAATAGAACCAGGTTATTGTTCAATTGCATTATTGGAAATCTATTCACAGATGATATCTTTAATGATTGTAGCTTTCAATAGTTAAATTAAGGTTTATATTTTTTTATTTATGATGTGTTTGATGTTTCAACTAATTTGTGGTAATATTGGATAAATGTGTTCAGAATAGATACAGATATCCGAGAGTTGTATTATCTGTCACTTTGTTTTCGGAGCGACATGTCAACACTGTTAAAAAACTTCATTTAATGAATATACACTTACATCCATCTAATTATATATCTATATAAATATGTTAAGTTGGTTTGTGTACGCCTCAGAAACTCAAAAAGTTATGCACCGATTGAGCTCTAATTTTGACCTGATATACAAAACGCGTCAGAGATAGTTTTTATCTATTTTTGCAACCATAATTTGCCACAACGAACACATCCAAAACAGACCCTCGCGGCCACGCGTACAAGCAGGGACAAAATTCATGAAAACATATATACTTGCCCACATTTGTCTGATACGCTACGAGCTTAAAGTTGTTCATGAGATTCCGTTAACATTGTGTTGATATGTAGGTCGTAAAGTATTCATATGGAATGGAAGATAACATTACCCTCCTATCTTCACGAGTTGTTAGATGGGAGTGTTACTAGTTATGTTCTCGCTCGTATAAGGAAAGGTAAGCTTATTATCATCATGGACAGCTATTAAATAATATAATAGATACGACCTATTATTATTTTCCTTAGGTATACTTAAAACTTTGCGGCATCTTTCTTATTCTACGACCAAACGAAAGAATTTTAATGTTATATTTATAAACGCTTTACAGATTGTATACAGCAAGATTAAACTTTGGAGTAGGCACTTGATGTAAATTGATATAAACGTCGAGTTTCGATCAATTTGCATTGAGTGTGTGGAGTAATTTGTTTAACCTTTCAGTCCTTGTCTTATACTAACAAGTATATACTGCATTTGATCACTAAATAAACAACTCCACGAATTTGTAATTTTTATAAATTCATAATACAATAAAAGTATAAAAAATCTGTAGTTATTCTGGGTAACATCTAACCACTTGGGACGTAATTTTCTATGGTATGATAAGTTCTGTTAGATTGGACAGTCTGGCAATTAAAAAGAAACGATCATAATTATTTATTATTTAACTCAACACAATTTTTGGTAGCTTAACACAGACACTAGATTTATATAACACCACTTAGCACGGATTAACGCATTTAATTGGGTCCAGCCAAGGGCAGAATAGACCCGGAGTACACTATTACTCTAGTGCTATTTTCTGAAAACCACAATTATAGAGAGCAGAGAATAACAACTGAACTAATTTATTGCGAATTTCACGTACGGCAAAACGAAGAAACATACAACAGCGCCATCTAACCAAGGCACCCCCAACTACGGAGTAACTGCTAATCCTGTATCGCGATATGAGTAATTCGCAAGTCGATTAGCATATACAACTTCCCAACATCAACCTTTCGGTCGTGGCCCAATGTTTCTTCGTTTTGTCGTATGTGGAAGACACCACATAATTTAGGAAATTGATACGTATTTATAGTAGGTATATTAATTGCTGATCTGCAATGTTAAATTTACATCAATCTGCTATTGTTGCAAGTCAGCAATAATGCATTGCATTTCTATAGTATAGCATTTAAATTAGGGATGTAACAGTTCGTATAAGATCACTTTACCGTAAATGTGATTTCAGTGATCTTTAGATAAGGTACATAAAATATATTTTGAAAACTATATACATAATATGTGAAGCTTTATATAATAGGTCTTTACCTATGAAATTGCCGTTTTGTATGCAATAAGTGAAAGTACTTATTTTTTCAAACTTTGATGCCCAATAAACTGCCAATGCATTGGCAAAGATGCGTCGATTGCATGGGTGATTACTTCGAATAACAGAAATAAAAAAGTTTGAAAAAATAAGTACTTTCACTTATTGCATACAAAACGGCAATTTCATAGGTAAAGACCTAATATAAACAGAAACATTTGTGTCATCTAAAGGTACACGCAATGACTTTGAGTACGTAGGACTCTTGATTTTAACACCTTTAAAATCCATTGTACTACGTTTTTATAAACATGGTAACATCAGAACAATGCTGATAAACTAACCAAACTAACCTTGCTACGTTATATCTTGAGCCATGTATAACAGAAAATATTATTACATAGATTATTGTCGATAACAAATTTGATTAGATGCTTTATGATGCAAAAAGATAATCTTATGTAGATTTGATAAAAATCAGTGATTATTACTGTTATAGGCGGTAACAAAGGCGGGATCTCCGTTCTTGTTGTTGTTCTTTGTAACTGCTGTACTATATACTCCATTTTATTATTTTGCAAGTATTATTAGGAAACGAAAAGTATATTCATGACTTGAGAGATTCTTGCATCGGCACATTTGGGCTAGCATAACCTGACTGATGCCATGTCCACACACAAAAGTGATGTAGGACAACTCTTTCGTCATTTTTCACAAAGTAAATGAAGTTATCGGAGGCCCAAACTATCCTTCCCATTCTGTAGAGGTGGATAGACAACGCACTTTGGTTTAAGTGTGACATAGTGTGTACTTGAATGTATATGTTGTAATAGCCACTTACCATCAGGTGACATGTCTGCTTGTTTGACCCCTCAACCACTAAAAAAACATTTCTGACACACAATTTGTACAGCTCTCAGAAAATAACATAAAAAAATTCGTCAGTAGGAAGGTATAAAGTTTATCAGCTTTGGTTAAATTATAGTTTGTAAATACATATCGTAAACTTTTACACATGCAACACGAAGTATAGAAACAGTATTCACAGTCTAAATATTACGCTTCGCAGGCGAATGCGTTTGGAAGCAGTGTTAAAACCGCGAAAATAAGTCATGTGTTGAAAGACAAGAAAATGTAATAAAAATATTCAGTGGAGTTGAAAACAAAAATATGGGACGGAAAATGAGAACAGAGAGGAAAATCGCATCAGTTACTCTCACGCAACCTTACAGAATATTTTTCGAGAGTTTATTGAATAAATATACATAATTTTGCTTTGATGCTTTCAAAAGTGTTTTACACTGCGAGGTGGCATTTCTAATACCTAGTCCCGCCTTCGCGAATCCGAAATAAATACTCATATACTTTGTAAATGTAAGACGACAAGGTTGCGTTTACTTAAAATGTTTCCATTCTTGACTTAGGTTTGGTCAAATGTCGAATTATGAACATAGATAGAAGGTAAGTAGTTTTTGCAAAAATTTTTTTTTTAAATAATCAAATGAATTTATCCAAACAAAATTAATATACAAATAATAGTAAGTTGTTAGAACAAACATAGGTTAGTCGGACAGGTATCATGTTGAGCGGCAGAATCCGGTTGCGACAGATGGCAGCCAGGAATAATTCTGCGGCACAATTTTATCGCCACCAACTGCAGGCGTCATCTGCAATCCGTTCAGTTTCCCCACTATCTGTCTAGTTGTTTTATGATTTTACTATTGCCAATTTAGTTTCTATATCTTTTGTTCGTTGTTTGGTATGAAGCATATCTATTATTCAAGTGTTACCTATGAGCTTATTGGTTACTCAAAGACAATAATTTGTTAATAGTATTAAAGAGGTCAACAAACTTGTTTATACAGTTTTTTTTATATAGACGTCTCATACAGTAGTCTTTCTATAAGTCACCCCTAAAGCTGGCTTCTGACGGCGCTCGTCCGATCGCTCGAAGTCTGTACTTCAAGCGGATTCGCCACGCGAGCGCACTCGTGGCGACTCGAGCGCGCGCAGGGTGGGTCGGGTGAACAAGTTCGGTCATTTCGTTTCGAGCCGCGCAGATGTGCTCGTAAAGTATCCGAACCGTAGTATCTGAAATAAAAAATGGGATAATGACTTAAAATAGAAAGTGACCTCTATACAGTAGTCATCAAAAGAACAACTTACCTCGATCGGCTCTTATTGAACAATGTCATCCACCAGCGTCTTTTCCTTTTCTTCTTTTACTAAGTAAATAATATCCACTAAATAGCACAAAAGCGGCAACAGCGATGACTTTTTGTTCTTGCGTCATGATTTGATGCATGGCCCGGACTGTGGTGTCGAAAGCGAAGCCGGCGCGGGCGGAATCAAGGCGCGCCGCGCCCGTGAGAACGGGTAGCGCGGGCTCACCTGGTGGCGCATGCTTGCTCGTACAAGTCGGCTGGCGCGGCGATACTTGTGATATGTCACGCCGTGAGGAGCCAGCTTTAGAAATTGTAGATTAGTTACATTTGTAAAAAATCGGCGAATAAATATCAAAGAAATGGAAAGTTCAAAAGCAATTTAATTTAAATTTTAACAAACGCACTATATGCAGATGTTTTAATATATTAATATTTGATGTAAAAGTCTAATATATGAGTTTAACAAAATATGAGTGATGAAAACAAAATGGAATATACTACTCGTACTACCCTCCTCATCACATTACTCATAACAATAAATATTATTCATATTTTTAAAAGCAAGCACTTCTCGAAACGTTTTCAAATTCACCCAAGATTCAATAAATAAAATGAGTAGGACCCCTTCATTCATGCTATATTTGTTATCATAATCCCCTCTGGAACATATTCGTCATGTGTTGAGGGACCTCGAGCCTCGGACTTGTACTCCTACTTTCTATGTTATTTGTTTCGTATTTCAGTCATTTTGTGACAGTATTTCGATGTCGTAAATCCGTGAAAATAATTGAAACGGAATATTTCGTTTTTACGAATGGACTTTGTACGTCAAATTCTGACCATGCGTTGTAATCTTGTCAATGTTTTTATTTCGCCTTATATCTTTATATCACATTTTATAACAGACTATAATGTGTATAATATAATATTATTATTTAGAGATACGGATGTTATGTCTGTCTAACGTCCGTATGTCCTCGGACTAGGCGAGGTGATCGTGCCTGGGCGACCGCGGCCGACCGGTTTATATTTTTAATATACTAATTGACGCGAGATATTTCCTTGTGTGATGCAGGAATAACAGTGACTCCGCAGTTCGGTTAGTGTTCATTAGTTGCTAGTGAAGAATGTTTCTTTAAAAAGATATCAACTCAAATTTAAAAATATTACCACTTCTATCTTTTTATTATATGTCTTCGAACTTTGTATCTACATATATACTCGTACTTAAAACAAAGGTATTTTTTATGTACGAACATAAAAACATAATAATGTTTAATTTATGGCAATGGTTCATAATAAATTAATATTTTTAGAAATCCTAACTTCCTTTAAAAAGAAATGACTACTACTACAAATGAGTTTTTAAATGAAAAAATGATTTAAATTTATATTAGAGGACGACTTTCCTTAGTATTTCCAATAATTGAATTGAATTTAATACCTATGACATTGCATTGAATAATTATTTACATTATATTTAATATTTTTTTGGTATATGTAATAATTCACGACATTGCATTTAATCATTTTTACATTGTATTTAATATTTATTGACATTGTATTTACTAATCCTTGACATTATATATTTTGATAAAACCTTGGCATTGTATGGTTTTATCAACTAATTTTGAAATGTTGTTCTAAAAAATTTAACTTCAAATCATTCATTTCAAGGAAATATTTGTAGGCTGGAAACAGCAGAATGTTATGATTGTCATATTATAATATTAGGTCTAACACCTGTATCTCAACAACATTCTGACAAATAAATATATTATTTAGTATTTTTCTAACTAATACAGCAGATTGTGTATCTACAAATAAATAAAAGTGAAGTGCCTGTTTGTAATGTCAAAATTTTGTGTGTGTTTTTTTCATGCTCACACGGTTATTTACACGATATCTTTGCCTAAAAACCAGTTTAATTTTTTGTTGTCTCTATGTCTGTCTGTTCGGTCGGGTAATCTTCTAAACGGCTGGACCGATTTTGATAATATTTAACTACTAGGTAGCTTAAAAAAGTAAAATAGCTTAAGGTTCTCCTCTAAGTCTAATATAAGGAGTAACTATTTTTTTTTCCAGAACCAAACCCCATAAAATTTTGCCCGGTTCGGGAATCGAACTTACTAAGGCAGTTCTTCAAATTCCATGCGAACGAAGTCCTTATAAGTAGTACCAGCTAGTTATAAATATAAACAGCACCTCACTTCAGTCAACTCTTGTTACTGATCGAACAATAAAAATAATGAACGACGTTCCACAAAATATTACCATTAAAATACATTTACAATATCTTGCTTCCGATGTAAACCTTATTATCAGAATAGGACACGTCAGCCAAGAACAGAATTTGCGACAGGGCCGGATTAAAAAGGTTTAATGGCTCTCGCAAGTCTGAATGAAAGTTGTTTCACGGGATGGGTGATTTCATGACATAGTCAGATTTAAGATGTGCGTGATGTACTTTAACAAGTTTATATGTAAGTCCTTTGTCGTTCCTGTTTGAGGCTTAACATTTGGCGGGAGCGTAGTTTATAGGTAGACCGCATTTACTAAGAATCTAGCTAGCTTAGATTCTCGCTGCTTTATAGGGTCCTTGGTTTTTAAGGAAAGAGAAATACTTGGATCTAGCATCAATCTCTCTTTCCCCTTAGCTAATATGTTCCACATATTAGCTAAGAATGGATTTTACGTCAGAGTTTAAGGAAGTTTTTGAAAGTTTAGATGTTTTTTTATTAGTTAAGTTATTCTGGTTTATAATGTAAAATTTGTAAATGAAGAAGTGGTCTAAAGGTGGTCAAACTTCGTTGTTGTAAGTGGAATTTGGTCGTTTAAAGGTAGTTTACTCAAAACCGGTGCTAAGCTGTTACTATCCTCTGCTAATTTGCTCATGGTCCTCTTAAATCCGCACAGTGTTCTGGATAAATCCATAATAAATTATACCCAATGTGAGCATAATTTGTCAAAGATACACCTAATTACAATATCATATGTTAGTTAAGAAAATACACAGAAAGTACACAGGTACATATATCTGGGATCGTGTCCTCCATGATTTGTCGTTGGGTACTTATTTCTTTTATAACTTGTTAGTTTTACGAAAAGAAATTTCAATTTTTTTTTATGTTAGAGGGGGCAGCCGAGCAGACGGGTCACCTGATGGAAAGTTACCATCGCCACCCATGAACGTCTGCAACTCAGGAGTCACAAACGCGTTGCCGGCCTTTTAGGAAGGAGTACGCTCTTTTCTTGAAGGTTTGAAGGTCGTATCGGTCCGGGAATAACTCAGACGATAGCCCGTTAGCCACAGATTGGTTGTGCGAGGCAAAAAGTGTCTCGAAAAGCGCACAGTAGTGGAGCGCCAACTATCCAGGTGATGGGGATAAAAAAATTGCCTTGTGTACAATTCCTCGGAGCAATCTCCATGATCTATGCGATAGAGAATGCAGAGTGAAGCCGCATCTCTACGTAACGCCAAGGGATGTTTGGGCTATCGACGATTCGAGTCGCTCTTCGTTGGATACGGTCCAGAGGGAGAAGCTGGTACTGAGGTGAACCTGCATAGAGATGAAAACAGTATTCCATATGCGGCCGGACTTGCGTCTAATAGAGCTGAAGGCGGTGGGCCGGATTGAAATACTGCCTCGATCTGTTCAACACACCGAGCTTCTTAGAGGCCAATTTGACATAACCCCTTAAGTGACCCCGAAACTGGACTTCGCTCGATACGTGGATGCCTAGGATTCCAATACTGGCTGAGGTAGTTAGGGAGGTGCTCTCAGACCGAGGTGATACGACAAATGGTACATTGACCTTGACCTGTGTCTTTTTGGGTTAAACTGGGCTAGATTTAGTCGGCCCAATCTGAAACCTCTGCTGAGGAAGTTTTCATTTCAGACACAAGTTTGTTTCGAGTCTCGATGACGTTTTCCTGAGAAGTAAAGGGCATCTCCCGTGCTATCATCTGAATAGCAATGGATGCTACTAGTTTGCAACATATCATTGATATGCAGAAGAAACAGTGTGGGTGATAGCACACAGCCTTGCCACCAGGGCCAATGGGCACCAGCTTTTAGGGGTTTCAAGTCCCTCATGCTTTTGTCCGCAAGGAAACTGGTGACCCAATTACACAATTTCTCGGCAATCCCATATTGCCGAGAAATTGTGGGTCACCAGTTTCGAGGGAAGGGAGCTTCGAGAGAAGCGCCTTATGACAGACCCGATCGAACGCCTTCGCTATGTTCAAACTAACCACACAAGCTTATCCCTTGGTGTCGAATGCCTGTGTCCACCGGTGTGTTAGAAAGGCCAGAAGATGACCAACTGAGCGACCCCGGCGAAAACCATATTGTCGATAATTGAATAGCCAGTGATTGTCTAATTATCGAAGGAGCTGGCAATTGATTATGGATTCCATAATCTTAGAGAACAAAGGAGTTATGGCTATAGGCCTGTAGTTGTGCGGGTCAGAGCGGTCGAAAAGGCGCGTTAAAACTAGTGCCAACTCCGGAGCACACGTCTTAAACACGATAGGAGAGATTCCATCGGGCCCACACGACTTATGGATGTCGAGGGAAAAGAGTGCTTTACGAATTGATTTTTGTGTGAACCGGATATCTGGCATATAGCTCAGGCACCGCGGTATGGTCGGCGGTACGTTTCAACCGTCATCCATAGTCGAGTTGAATGCAAATAGCTTGCCTAGGAGATCGGCTTGCTCCTCGTCATCATAGGCCAACGAATTAACGAATTAAATACGATTGGCTACAAAAATTCCCCTGGACAGTCTTGGCAAGAGACTAGAATGCGGAAGGAAAGGAAGTTCCGGAAGGAAGTCTCACTAGTCTCTCACCGATCCGGCTGATGTGCTTCGATTTTACCCTAGCAATGGCTCTTTTAAGGGAACTGGAGGCAAAGTTATATTGTTTCTTTGGCGTGCTGGAATTTACATCGCCTGCCGTAGCTGCATTTGCCCATGCTTGGTAGCATTCCCGCTTTTGGCGGGACGCCGTTTTGCAGGATCTATC